TTTTGACTTTTGCCGGATTTAGTTTCGACTTTTGCCATTTGCCAAAAATAGTTTTGCCTAACAACAGTAGTTACAGCTGATGCTAAAAACGGTTGATGCTGAAATTCGGACCTATTTTGATATAAAAATTTAAATTTTTTTGTGGAATTTTGTCTGCTTATTTTTAAAGCTAGGTTAGGATTTAGGGCTAGAATTGCTAATTAAAGAGTATATGTGAATTTTAGCTGGGTTTATATTTTAAATCGAGACTTCAAATTTCATCATCAGTCATCTTCAGCATCAACTGCAACAATTATTAACAAGTAAAAATTAAAAAGTACCTTGTTTATCTTTAATTATCCTTAAAAGTTCTTTAAGAACCACAAAAACAGGAACTGGCTGCTTCGGATACATTTAAATGTTTTTATTTCTCTAGCTAAATTTGTAGACAGTGCTATATGTTTTTCAAAAAGAAATAGAAACAGCAATTAAAGCAGACCAACATGAATTTTTTTTTGACTTGTGCAAATAACTTCACAAAACATTTATCTGCAAAGTCTTTATCAAAAGCTTTAACACCCATAAAATTATTTAAAGCAGTGGCAATATCTGTAATATCTACAATACTCTTAACAGCCTGTTGATAGATTATAAAAAAAAAGACATCGAATTTTTTTTATATCACTGTCCCTTTCCCCTTTTTGAATGTTAATCGATCACTTGTAAAGTTCTCCAAAATTAACTTTTTTGTAAAAAGTATATCTAGGTATTGGTATTTTAATATAATTTAGATTTCAAGTTTTGAATTTGTAAAATGCCTTATATTATTTGTATTTAAGGTAAAAATTTTAACAAAAATTGGTTTTTGCTTAAAAAGAATTTTATAGTGGTTAGAACATTTAATAAAATAGTGATCCAAAAAAACTACTAAAAGATATTAATATAAACATACTGACAATTTGCTTAGCCTTTTTTGTAGGAACTGCTTGCAAATGGTTTAAATTGATCTTGTTTTCTATAAACAGAATATTAAACAATATTTGATTCCTTAATTCTTTTAACTGATAGTGATATTTTATATGTTACATGTTTGGTGGTATTGGTATTAGTTACTATAAATAAAATTTAAATTATCTAAATCACTATTGGTATAATTAAACAAAGATTACTTACATGTTTGTAATAGCTCCATGATTAGCTTTAGACAATAATTATTAGCACCATGGTTAACACGAATGAATAGATTAATGTAATATTTAAATTTATGTCTTAATAGTTCATTAGATTCTGAATAATAATTTTTTTTTTGCCCTAATTGTATTAAAGTTAATATTTTAGATTAATAAATATTTATATTTTTTTAATTAAATAAACTAATCTAATCGTTTTGTCAACATTTTGATTGTTTAGTTTTAGTTTCAGTACTTTGATTTTTCTTGTTTTGTTGAGCAATCGTATTAGTAATAATATTTTTCTTACGCCGCCCTTTTGTATCTCGTTTATTAGATTTTTCAATATCTTGTTTTTAAATATTATAAAGTCGATCTACACCTTTATTATAACAAAAAAGTAGATTTTAAAATCCACTCTCTGTATTTTGTGTTGCACCTTTAAAAAGTTCACATGTTACTGGATTTAGGGTATTCAAAAGCTAATTGCAAATCATTTGCTAGTTTCTATAATATATCTTTTAAAGATTTTATACTATGGCTAGTTGAAGATACTGAACTATCACCAACATACTTACTAAGAGATAAATTCAACCTACCACATTCTGCCTGAATTGATACAATTTGTTTTTTCAAACCATTGATAGATTGTTTAGCTGATCTAATGTTTTGTTTAACATACATTATACCAACTCGCTTTTGTGCCTCATCAGCAGCCAGGTAATGTCAGAGATGTGTAATATT